AGGACATTTAGCGACTTTCATGCATATTCATTGTCCAAACTACCCTTTGAAACCGAAGGCCGAGAATGAATGAAACAGCAAACGTGCAGGCTCGCTCGCCTGTTTTTTTCCCGCTCGCCCCGGTTCAACTTTCATGTCTTCGGGTTTCATTTATAACTAGCATTTCTCCAACTGTGATTTACCGTAATCAGGGAAGTAATGTTTGAATCACGCAGTAAATGACCATGTTATTTGAAACTGCCGCCTTCTCTCGGACATATTTCTTCCGGTTCGTTACAGTCTGATTGTTGCAGTTCTTTTCGCCTCTTGCCTTAATTGACAGGTCAAATGAACATTGTTTTAATCCCACTCTCCGTTGATTGGCTACTGACTGTGTAGGCGTGTCAAGTTATGTGCATAAATTAAACGATCACCTGATTCATGTCACGCCACTGTATGTATTCGTACACCTGGAATGTTTATCAATGTCGTCATTTTTGTCTGTTTTGATATATGCAACTGTTTTGGGTTAAACTATTGTAGATAAAACATGTTTTACGTTGTCGAATTTAATTATAAGCATTGACTGTGTTATTTTTTCGGTTCATTGAGGTATGAATCGAAAAGCCGATGTGCAAACTTTTGTAAGAATCCGCTACGCGGATTCATACAGTTTGCATATCGGCTTTTCGATTCATACCTCAATGAACCGAAAAAAATACACAGTCAATCCTTAAATAATAGGTTTAAATAACACGGTGATTCGCACGATTTGCTCTCAGTCATGAGATAATATGAACAGGTGGTTTGTTGCAAATAAGCTCGCTACTAATACCGCGTATACTGGACTATCTGTTTCCGTCACATTCAACGGAAGCTCGTTTAATTTATTTGTCTCTAAATTCCTCGTAAAAACATACTTTGATGACGTCATGGATTCCACAATGAAGTGATAACACTAATTTTTATCGTCAATGCAATATTTTAAATAGTTATTTAGAGTGACGAGTTTACTTTGACCTAAACAATGCATATTCATTTACTGATAAGCCGCTCTTATAACAATGATACGAAACATACCAATCGATGATATCAACAACGTAGATGCAATCACTATCAAAGATGCTTTATTTACTCCTCTGACAGGCGAGGATATCTTAGTGCCAATTTTATCAATTGTGGTTCCTCCCTATAACGCTATGGTTGCTGGGGACGCCGAGTCAGCGATAATTTTTAACAGAAGCAGCCGCGTTGCTTCAAGTCGTGTATATAGGTTATACTTAGAGAACCCAACCCAAGCCTGCTGGACTTTGCCCAAGCGTGAAAACAGACACAAGGCCACAGAGGTGAAGTGTTAAGCACTGTGGCTTAAAGGTACGTGAGGTGAGATGAAATGGGGTTTTACGTCGCGTTAAAAATGATTTCACTTACATATCGACTTGCGTGGATGTGTGTGGCTAGTTGTACTAACAGTACTTTAATGGCGGTTTTATGGTGCTAGTCCACTGAGATACCTCTTTAACATTGATACCCCACTCAGACACAGTATACTGACCAATCAGTCATACCGTGTCAGCTTAACGTGGGAGGAAAGCCCGAAGTGATGCAGGTCTAAGACGTTTACCACCTCGGGGAAACCCACGGGCACGGGTATGGTGCTGACAAACCTAGAAACATAATCGGGGCGAACCGGAATTCGAACCCACAATCATAGGTTTCTGGTGTGCCCAAGGGACGCAACTCTGCGCAGCGAATCGCGGCGCCTTAGACGACTGGGCCACCCGTGCCCCCACTGAGAACATGAAATTCATTTGAAACATCCGATGTCATGTACTGGAGATAACGATCTGTGTCACAAAAAACGTTCACTCAAAACATTTACGCTAGCTTTTAATGTCATGAAACACAACACACAGCTTGATCAAACAAACGCCAACCGGGCGTGACGGCGTTCCTGCCAAGCTTGTCAATAACTAATACATGCCAAGCACTGCATGTTGAATACATCAACATAACGTGCATGGACATTTGGCGGTGATGATGACATTTGTATTAGCCCTACACCCGTGGTGGAGATACATGGCGGCATTGAGGGGGCACGGGTGGCACAGTCGTCTCAGGCGCCGCGGTCCGCTGAACTGATTTGCGTCCCTTGGGCCCACCAGAAGCCCATGATTGTGGGTTCGAATCCCGTAGTTTCACCGAAGTGGTGAACGTCTGAGACCTGCATCTCTTCAGACTTTCCTCGCACATTAAGCTGACACGCCGTGATATAACTGGAATACTCTTCAGAGCGGCGTTAAACCCAACTCACTCACTCATTCATGACGGTATTGTAGCATAATAAGATAAAAAATACTGCGTTTTCAAAGTAGAGCTAGGTGACCTGTAGATTTAACCGCTCTCAATCGAATTTGGAACCAGACGAGGATGTTTAATTCCATTCTACCATGACTCTTTGGTGTGAGAAAATATATTGAGTGAAGCGTGCCCAGTATCTTGAGTGGGTTGTCAATCAGAATTTACGGAATCACCGACAGCAGCCTTTAAACAAAATTATACACTCTGTGGACTGTATTGGTAATGGATGCCATCGATGGGCTGGCTACGCTCACAGTTTCCCGAAGACCTGGTATCATCAATATTTGATAGTGATTCATAAACACATGCTCATAATATAGTCGGAATCGAATTATCGACTCTGCTAATCTTGTCAACATGGAAAGGGTGTTGTCCCTTTTTATTCAAAGATAAGCAATTGCCTAATTAACAATCTCATCAAAATCAGATCTTAGTTCTCGCTGCCGCTAAATAAAGATCTGAGGACATCCCATTACGGGTCACGTCAGACCGACCAGTCGGTAACTCTGACCGACCAATGGAATTACTGACAAGAAGTCGACATTAGCCAATCAGAAGGCAGCTTTCTCGTGCCTTACGGCACTAATTTCAAATTGGCGACTACGCTTCGAAACATATTTTGACAAATTCTCGCTTAAAAAATTGAAACCTGAACAAGATAACATTCTCGATTTGCTAATATATGGTCTATATTGTATATATTTAGTCGTTAAGCCCGTAACTATCGTTCGGAATACCCCGTAGTTTTCGAGGTTGCATGATGAGAAATCACATTCTGAGTGTCATTTTCTTGATCTGGTAAGCGACGCTCTGATTGGTCGGATGAAAGGTCGTTCTGACGTGACCCATAATGGGATGTCCTCAGATCTTTGTTTAGCGGTAGCGAGAACTAAGATATGATTTTAATTAGATTGCCTTATTAAATGTGTAAAGTGTTAATTTAGCCGTGAGTGTGTGTCGCATCGGTACTGTGTGTTCGGTTTAGCCCACGTGACATACGTTAAGGGTCGTGAGCAAAATAGTGCGTGTATGCAGAGGATCATCTTGTCCGACCCAGCATGATGTATGACCGTACTAATAGATCTGACTATTACATGACAGGCCTGCCACACAGCCAGAATCTTTGCATTTGTGATCACTCGTGTCATTCCGGGACAGCTTCGCGTGGCCAATTTATCAACTTGGTTCAGTCTTCGCGAAAACGGGCAAGGAGGAAAACCTAGTCAACTTGAAATAATTTTTGAAGTTTATACGGTTGCCATTGCAAACCACATGTTATTCACTGTGATGCAACAAGGGTAATTGTCAACATGGTATGTGCCTAGATACAAACTTGACTCTAAACAACGCAATTTCGGGAGGGATTCTTTGACCAACTTACTTGTAGTCTTACGCGCATTCTGATTGGTTTGTCGTGTTTTTAAACATGACATTGGTGATAGGGGCACGAGTTCTTGCAGGTCACGGAAAGGGGCGATGGTTGACCAACACCAACTCAGCTTTCAGCAGAGAGGTGTATTTCTTATAATTCTGGAAAAAATTATCGTTTTTATTCATGTATGTGAAAAGGCAACTTTACGCGTGCAATGTAACAACCCAAGTTTGAATCAATTCATTTAACGCAAGCTGATGCAAACTCATTGTATATCTATCTGGAAGTAAATAATTTGGGACGGTCAGGTATTCTAGTGGTTAAAGCATTTGGTCGTCACGCCCCGGGCCCGGGTTCGATACAATGTGGATACAAAGTGTTAAACCCATTATGCTCAGTTTACTTTCAAGGGCTAACGACCTCATTTCTCTGCCTGACTTAGAGTAGACATGCGTCACAACTGCACAGCCTTTTCTTATGTCTTTATGCAAACGTTGTGCACACAAGCTCGTGAAATATTAAGAACAGTCTGCTTGATGTGCGAGGAAAGCAAAATACAGTAAACTACGTTTATAACGAACTGACGGATATAACGAATTTATTTTTTGTCCCGGTCATTTGCTGTACATATGCTGTATATGCTTATAATAAACTACGGTTATAACGAACTTAAATTAATGGTCCCTTTGGGTTCGTTATAACCGTAGTGGGGGCAAGGGTGGCCCAGTCGTCTAAGGCGCCGCGATTCGCTGTGCAGAGTTGCGTCCCTTGGGCACGCCAGAAACCTATGATTGTGGGTTCGAATCCCGGTTCGCCCCGACTATGTTTCTAGGTTTGTCAGCACCATACCCGTGCTCGTTGGTTTCACCGAAGTTGTAAACTTCTGAGACCTGCATCACTTCGGGCTTTCCTCCCACATTAAGCTGACACGTCGCGATATAACTGGAATACTGTTAAAAGCGTCGTTAAACCCAACTCACTCACTCACTATAACCGTAGTTTATTGTTTACTACTTAAAAGCAGCTTAAAAACACTTCTTTCGTATGATTATTATCTGTCACGCCATGCTATGGTGTTCCTCAACTTCTTTTGATCAGTATATGATGCTGTTTGTAGACATTTACCTCTTTTTGACCTCAGAAACCAAGATCAGTTAGATTCGACTCCTGAATCCAGGAAGGGGTTCAACTACTTAAACAACGCGGACACCAATGCCCCCTATGCTAAGCCTATTTCGTATAAATATCATCGATGTTAGTTATTTATTTATTTTTCTACTTTTTTAAGGCCATGACGTACTCTTCCGACATTGACCGAGGATGGGCGTGGCTAGTGGTTGCTTCCTCCTTCCTCACCCACACGTTGACGTATGGTGTTGCGTGGTCAACAGGGGTCTACAACACCATCTTCATCGACGCCTTCGGTGACAGCAAGACTGTGACTGCGTGGGCGGGATCGTTGACGACAGCCTCGATGTATGCCGCAGGTAAGGCTAAATCAGCAGCATACTGTTCACGACACTCTTTTGGACTGATCTGAAATCCTAGCACTAACTCTTAACATGTGAATGTCTGCGGTTGATTATGTCATTGTAGCACTTGAATTTCAAACATGAATTATGTGACGAAGAAATCACGAGATTCTGTTGTTTCTGGTCCTGGCACCAGCGAGCCCCGAAGAGGCGAGTTGACTCCTCTTCCTGGATCAACAGTGAGTGATTTCTCCATCTTAAACCACGTTATGGTTGACTTGTGTTTGTTTAATTTTGCATAATGAACTAACGTTGGATCAGTTTTACTTGGTCAAGTTTTGTTCAGAATGGCCTGTGAATTCGGAATTAACCTCAACAACAATAGTGTGGCATCATCATACTGGTATAATATTTGGAGAATTATAACAGTTAGTATTCTTGAGGGGCAACATATTATATGATAGGAGCCCCTTGATAAGATTGAAACATTTCTTTATTAACTTTTATATATGTCTATGCTTTACAAATCAGCTTGACCTTTTATCTGATAATCACACTTCTTATGATCATCTGTAAACTACGTCATCATCAAATGTCATGTTGTAAAGCATCCCTTATTTCCTACTCTAAACAATATGTTTATGGGCAAAAAGTCATTAAGAGATTGTTATACAATATTATGCATTATGTACTAACATTTACGTATATAGCGAAGATTCAAATATTGAATTTGACTTTTTCAGCCGACCACAAGCAGACGACCGGGGAAACAATCTTTTGCTCTTTTCGCAAAGGTGGTTTCCTACGAAGCGTGAGACACTCTCTCATCTGTTTTCCTCTCTGTCTTCTTTGCAGGGGCAGCTGGATAAGAACACATCCATCATGGTCACGCAGATCTTCTTCAGATGCACGAGCCAATCAGAAATAAGCATCGGGGTATATGACCAATCAGAAAGCCTCTTACAGATTTGGTTTAAGTACCAAGACTCCTTGACAGACGAGTCTGGAGTGATAGGTGAAGTGACGGTTTTCTTCTGATTATAACAATGCATGCTGGGAAGGATGTCATGTTGACCGGATAGTCAGGCCTCTCGATCCACTGTGTTTCAGGTCCTCTTGCTAGCGTTCTCACCAACAAGTTCGGGTGTCGCCCGATCGTGATAGCGGGCGGGGCCCTAAGCGGAGCAGGCCTCATGCTGAGCTACTTTGCTCCCAACATCTACTGCCTCTACTTTTCGTTCGGAATCATGACTGGTATGTTCAGGTCTACAGCATGTAGAGATAGTTATCATATTCCTCCATCTCTATCTGTGTTGCATTCGGTTTCAATAATACCACTCCATTACGCCATCGACCAGTGAAATAACCAGACTCCTGCACCTAAATTTATCTATGTCTTTTGAGACTTGATAATGTGTCACAGGCTTCCCCTACGGTAGAAAGTGTACTGTACGCTTGTCTTGACCTCTCTATAATACACAAATGGTTCACTTGTACACCTGTCACAACCATCCATGATAAATACATACTTGACTGGTTTTGATAAGCCTGTAGTACAATGTGCATTTTCAACAAATATTTTAATGATGTGCGTTTGAACCGTCGATTGTGATCCTGGGCGAAGAATTTCTTTTCAAATATTTTCTTAAACAAAAAACATTTCTAGGAATACCACTTTGCCCAACCACCCCTGCCGTGCACACACACACACACACACACACACACACACACACACACACACACACACACACACACACACACACACACACACACACACACAAACACACACACAAACACACACACACACACACAAAAACACACACACAAAAAAACACAAACACATCAGAGTCACAAACACACGTACAAACACACCAGCCCCACACTGAGACACACACAAACACAACACAGTCGTACACACACACACACACACACACACACACACACACACACACACCAGTGTCACACACAGAAACACACATCACACAAACATACACATCATATAAACACACACATCACTCAAACATGCATATGATATAAACACACACACACACACAAACACACCAGAGTCACACCCAAACACACATCGCAGTCACACAAAAAACGCAAATACACACACACATACAAAGAAATGAACAAACACAGACACAAACTCACAAATCACAGTCACAAACACACACACGTACAAACACATCAGGCATACACTGAGACACACACAAGCGCAACACAGTCACACACACAGACATATCAGAGTCACACACATACACAATCACACACATCACACAAACACACACATCACACAAACATACACATCACACAAACGCACCAGAGTCACACACACACGCATCACAGTCACACAAAAGACTCAAACACACTCACACAAACACAGACGACAACTTCCTGCGTCCTTTATGTGGACTGCGATGACATTAGCGTGACACAAGTGTTGACATACTGCTTCATAGCATGAGATCTGCACAAATATCTTGAACGTAACCTTCAGTGGAGAAACACAAGGGACACTGTTATGTTTACTAAAGAAATACGTTTTGCGAGATACGTTTAAATAGGATGAATTACGACTGATGAGTTCAGAAACTCCCTTCTGACGCAACCGGGTCACCCGTTACGTTTGGTCGGACTCAGTGACAATACTTATTTTATTTACGTTCATGCTACTCCTTTACTGTTTGATGTTCTAAGCTAGGTTGTGCAGTTCATTCTAATCTGGCAGATGCCTCGTGAGGTGAAAGTAGCCTGCCAGAACATCAGTCTTTAGTGAGGAATAGCGTCTGTAATACGATCCACAACTTCAACTGCATGTCACCTGGGACATTGTCTATGTATAGTTATCTCAAGGGACTGTGCAACACAACAGCGTCTTCTGTTTCATCCACGCCGTGTATAGATACCTGACGGGTCCATGAGACACAACAGCGTCTTCTGTTTCATAAACACCGTGTATAGATACCTCACGGGTCCATGAGCCACAACAGCGTCTTCTGTTTCATAAACACCGTGTATAGATACCTCACGGGTCCACGAAACACAACAGCGTCTTCTGTTTCATGAACACCGTGTGTAGATACCTCACGGGTCCATGAGACACAACAGCGTCTTCTGTTTCATAAACACGGTGTATAGTTACCTCACGGGTCCATGAGACACAACAGCGTCTTCTGTTTCATGAACACCGTGTATAGATACCTCACGGGTCCATGAAACACAACAGCGTCTTCTGTTTCAAAAACACTGTGTATAGTTACCTCACGGGTCCATGAGACACAACAGCGTCTTCTGTTTCATAAACACCGTGTATAGATACCTCACGGGTCCATGAAACACAACAGCGTCTTCTGTTTCATAAACACTGTGTATAGATACCTCACGGGTCCACGAAACACAACAGCGTCTTCTGTTTCATAAACACCGTGTATAGATACCTCACGGGTCCATGAGCCACAACAGCGTCTTCTGTTTCATAAACACCGTGTATAGATACCTCACGGGTCCATGAGACACAACAGCGTCTTCTGTTTCATAAACACCGTGTATAGATACCTCACGGGTCCACGAAACACAACAGCGTCTTCTGTTTCATGAACACCGTGTGTAGATACCTCACGGGTCCATGAGACACAACAGCGTCTTCTGTTTCATAAACACCGTGTATAGATACCTCACGGGTCCACGAAACACAACAGCGTCTTCTGTTTCATAAACACTGTGTATAGATACCTCACGGGTCCATGAGACACAACAGCGTCTTCTGTTTCATCCACACTGTGTATAGATACCTCACGGGTCCATGAAACACAACAGCGTCTTCTGTTTCATAAACACTGTGTATAGTTACCTCACGGGTCCACGAAACACAACAGCGTCTTCTGTTTCATAAACACCGTGTATAGATACCTCACGGGTCCATGAAACACAACAGCGTCTTCTGTTTCATAAACACCGTGTATAGATACCTCACGGGTCCATGAGACACAACAGCGTCTTCTGTTTCATAAACACCGTTTATAGATACCTCACGGGTCCACGAAACACAACAGCGTCTTCTGTTTCATGAACACCGTGTGTAGATACCTCACGGGTCCATGAGACACAACAGCGTCTTCTGTTTCATAAACACCGTGTATAGATACCTCACGGGTCCATGAAACACAACAGCGTCTTCTGTTTCATAAACACTGTGTATAGATACCTCACGGGTCCATGAGACACAACAGCGTCTTCTGTTTCATCCACACTGTGTATAGATACCTCACGGGTCCATGAAACACAACAGCGTCTTCTGTTTCATAAACACTGTGTATAGTTACCTCACGGGTCCACGAAACACAACAGCGTCTTCTGTTTCATAAACACCGTGTATAGATACCTCACGGGTCCATGAAACACAACAGCGTCTTCTGTTTCATAAACACCGTGTATAGATACCTCACGGGTCCATGAGACACAACAGCGTCTTCTGTTTCATAAACACCGTGTATAGATACCTCACGGGTCCATGAAACACAACAGCGTCTTCTGTTTCATAAACACCGTGTATAGATACCTCACGGGTCCACGAGACACAACAGCGTCTTCTGTTTCATAAACACCGTGTATAGATACCTCACGGGTCCATGAAACACAACAGCGTCTTCTGTTTCATAAACACCGTGTATAGTTACCTCACGGGTCCATGAAACACAACAGCGTCTTCTGGTTCATAAACACCGTGTATAGATACCTCACGGGTCCATGAGACACAACAGCGTCTTCTGGTTCATGAACACCCTAGATATCATTGGATATATATTATTATTTGGTGCGTGCGGTATGGCAGTTGTATAGCCCAATGTATTCGAACTTGCGGTTGCTGTTCATGAAGCCAGATGGCGTTCACATCTGTCATGCAGGTTATTGATACCCATGTATAATATAATGGACGTTTGTAAAGCCGTGTTTCATATTCAGCACTCAATAACACTTAGCCAGAGTGGCCAGGGCGAAGGGGCAGTGGTAATGGCTGTTCGATATGGATCCTGTGTCGGCAGTATTAACGTGTAGATTCTATATGATTACAATGATCGTTGGGGTGGGGTGGGGGTTGCTGGTGGGGGGGGGGGGGGGGGGGGTGTGTGTGTGTTATCCGCTGGATGATGTACACTGGGAGGCTTACCAACATGCTTGGCTTATGTATTGATGTGTAGTGACATCGCTGACCCGCTGTCACCATGTTATAACACACGTGAGTGAATGTCTTGACAATTTAATAATACCAGTAACACCAACAACGACAACATGACAGCCTGAATATTCGTCGGGATGTTTGGGGTTGGTTGGACGCCGAACGGGAATACGTGAGAGAGAGAGAGAGAGAGAGAGAGAGAGAGAGAGAGAGAGAGAGAGAGAGAGAGAGAGAGAGAGAGAGAGAGAGAGAGAGAGAGAGAGAGATAAGAGAGAGATGGAGAGACGGAGATGGTGATTTAGAGAGAGGGAGAAAGAGTGGGAGAGATAGTGAATGAGAGAGAGGGAGAGACGGATATGGTTAATGAGAGAGAGAGGGAGAAAGAGTGGGAGAGATAGTGAATGAGAGAGAGGGAGAGACGGAGATAGTGAATTAGAGAGAGGGAGCAGGAGAGTGACAGAAGGAGAAAGAGTGGGAGAGATAGTGAATGAGAGAGAGGGAGAGACGGATATAGTGAATTAGAGAGAGGGAGCAGGAGAGTGAGAGAAGGAGAAAGAGTGGGAGAGATAGTGAATGAGAGAGAGGGAGAGACGGAGATAGTGAATGAGAGAGAGCGAGAGTGAGAGAGAGAGACAGAGAACCAGAGAGAGACAGATGACACCATGATATATAACCCAAGTCCTGCCCACGACGACTTCTCACAACTCACTCAGTCACTGTCTACTGAAACTAGACTATTTATGTTAATGTCTAGAAGGACAAAAGACACTGACACTGTAACGCACTCAGTGATATGTCTGAGTATAAGTGAACTGGTAAAGTAGGTTGCAAAAAGCACGCGTTAGTCTTGTTTAGCTGGAGACACTATTAACATGTGTACTGCATACCACAGCGGGCTATGGTACGGCGGAATCCTTGCATTGATTGACTGACTGACTGGTTGTCCCGAGCACAGTTGTGGACATTATGTAATGTATGTAGCACGTCCACAAAGAGTGCTCATGTTGGAATCTAGGCTGAACCTTGAACCTCGTGTACTAAATGGTGTACAACCGCAGAGACACTTGCGGATATA